TAGCCAGCAGCGTGGTTTCACATGAGCGGTGTTTGTAGGATTTGTTCTTATCTGTGATAAATCCTGGATAAGAGAAAAATTAATTAATACCACAATCTTTGTTCTGAAGAACAGTTTGTGAATGAGGCCCATTTCACCACTCTCAGCAGAACAAAATAATATAATTGCAGACTGTCTGAAAGTACTCACTCCCTACAACTATGCCACTTTTGAGGTGTCTGAGGAGAAGAAAGTCTCTGGGTCAAAAGTAATTCCACTTTTGGCCATTCTTCATAATGCTCTGGAAGAAGAGGAGAGCAGAGACATAGCTGAGTATTTGCGCAGACAGCTGAGGGACAAGCTCAGCCACCTTCAATCAATGAGCATCATGTCCCTCTCAACCTTGCTTGATCCAAGATTTTTTTTAAATGGGATTCTTCAACCCAAAAAAGGCAGCAGAGGCAGAAAAAAGATTGACTGGAGTATGTGCTCGAATCACTTATGGCCTATTTATTCTGTTCTAGGGAGCAAACTGTGGCAACGTTTTGATACAAAAGGCCAGCAAAGAAGAACCCCAAATAAAACTGCAAATGCTACATTGGAGGTCCAAACCTACCTGGGTGAACCAAATATTCCTCAACTAGTAAATTCCCTTCAAAATTGGGAAAAACAAATCTACATTTCCAAATCTGTACGAACTTGCCATTACATAGCTATGTGCATCTGCATCATCTGTGCCCTGTGAATGGATCTTTTCAAAAGCGGGTGAAATTCTGTGAAAAAAAGTCAAAAATTATTATTTATAAATACAAATGAATTAATGTATAGTTTTTATTAAATTCTGTCAACAGTTGCATAAACAGATACATTAACAAACTACCGCAAGCGCATTTTACATCACAACTCTCTCCAGATCATTGGCTGTATTCTTTCAGCCTATAGTCAGACCCCACCATTTGTTATAGGACCTTGGAATTTATTGAAAAATGTTTTCCACATGATGGCGTAGTGGAGCATGAATCTTTTCAAGCCTTCGACTCGTATGGGCCGGGTTACAAGCTGCTATCCCTCAATGCTTCATGGGGCTTCATGTTACCATCCCTAGTGTAAGCCGCGCTAAGAGCTAAACTGGAAGTCCTGAACTGCACGGACGTTCACAAAACTTGTCTATAGACCATGTCTCTATTAAAAAAACTGCTTTAGACCTGGTTCAGTCCTTTGTTTAGGCAGGGCATAAGCCTGGTTTAGACCTAATTTTGACCTGGTTTAGTCCTGGTTCAAACCTACTTCAAACGTGATTGATTCCTTGTTTAAACCTGTTTAGCCTGGTTCAAAATCGGTTCAATCCTTGTTTAGACCTAGTCCAGGGCCGAGGGAAGAGGGGGTGCCTGTTGGACAGGAACAGGACAACATTTTATATTTATTACATGTATTATAATAACATGATATGTGAATACAAGTTAATGTTTTAAGTTTTAGTCATAATAAAAATATAAACATTTGAGCCATGTTTGGAAATTGAATATTGTGCAAAAAAGAAATACAGAGGGAATATGCCCTATGCAATTCAGACTTCTTTCTGCCACCTTAAAAGACACTAAGGCCCGATGAACTCCAGGCAGAAGGTGGAAACTGGAGGAGAACAGCAGCAGGAGAAACAGGAGCACAGATCACAGAGCACACTGTGTCTGAGGACGAGTTAGATACAGTACAGACCAAAAGTTTGGACACACTTTCTCATTCAATGAGGTTCCTTTCTTTTCATGACTATTGACTATACATTGTAGATTCACACCCAGATTGTGTAAGGGCTATTTCACCAAGAAGGAAAGTGATGGGGTGCCTCCACAGTCACCGGATCTGAACCCAATCTGCAATGAGCTTGACTGCAGAGTGAAGGCAAAAGGGCCAACAATTGCTAAGCATCTCTGGGAACTCCTTCAAGACTGTTTCAGGTGACTACCTCTTGAAGCTCAATCAAGGGAATGCCAAGAGTGCGAAGCAGTAATCAAAGCAAAAGGTGGCTTTGAAGAACCTAGAATATAAGACATGTTTTCAGTTGTTTCATACTTACGTACGTACATAATTCTACATGAGTTAATTCATAGTTTTGATGCCTTCAGTGTGAATCTACACTTTTCAAAGTCATGAAAATAAAGAAAACTCTTTGAATGAGAGGGTGTGTCCAAACTTTTGGTCTCTACTGTAGATAGATACTTTATTGATCCTCCGGAAGTGAAAGGCGCAGAAGCGAGAGGGAACAATGAAGAGGCCAAAGTCAAGCAGTGGTAGGACCAGAACCAAGAGGAGTGGTGGTACCAGTGGATAAAATACAATTGAGATACTAATTTGTTTTATATGTAATACATTTAAGCCTACAAAATATATATTATATATACATTATACTGCTTCCATTAATCATTTTGTAAGTATTGTAAAAAGCCTTTACAAATCAAGTGTTTTATTAACAAACGCTTTAAACACTGTTTTGTTTATTATTTTGGCTTGGCACTCATTTTGAACTTATTTTGTTTAAGTGGTAAGCTGTATAATGTGTAGCTCAAACATATAGTTTAGTCTTTGACCAAAATATCCTTTTTTAGATCTGGTTTAGATCTTGTTCAGACCCTGTTTAGACCTGGTTTAGAACTTGTATTGTCCAAAGCACACAGTGAAATAAAGAATTGACAGTTGCTGTGAAGTAAATCCTTTATTCAAACAGTGACTTTTGGTTCTGAGGAATCTTAATAAAGGACAGAATCGTTTAAATCCTAAAACAACAGAAGCTAAATGATTTTTAAAAAGCACAAAATTACCGTGACGTAGAAAAATGACAGGGATCACCAAACGGGAGAAGGAGGCATGGTCGTAGTGCAAACGTGGAAAATGGGTAGAATCTGTGTCTAGAGCTAAACTCTACATCTACTTCAGCTTATCAAGTGTTTTTGGTGGACATATTCACATCACGTCTTTCCCTAAACCAAAACAATCCACTTATATCAAGTATTGAGTTTTAGGGACATTGTTCAGGCCGATGCACTTACAGCCTCCTGTCTACTAACTTTACTACTTTATAAATGTGTGTAATAAAGGACTCCCTTCAAAAATACTGTGAGGTCTAAAACTAGAGCTTTTTACAAAACTATTAAGAAGATTCAGGGTATTCAAGTGATTCAGAAGATTCAGGAGGAGATGGTCGAGAGGAGCATACTCTGCATTTGGGGAAATAGCTACAACAATATATGCGTGGTTCGAGGTAGACCTGGTTCAGTCCTGGTTCAGACCTGGTGTAGACCTGGTCCCACTCCCTATGATCTGTGGTGCATCGGCCCGGACATGGTCTGCTCTTGAATTGTTCAAACATGTCAATATTAGCAAATAGTTGTTAATAATTGTAAATGCTCTGTCTCTCCCCCCCACACACACACACACACAAATTCAAGCACAAAGCCTTCTGTGAGGGTCAGCACACACTAAATGCTGAACATTAATTAATTATTAACATTATATAACATAATATTGTTGTTATTATTATTAATTTTTTCCAAGATCGGGTTTATACAGAGGCAAGCACAACTTCACCTTATGCTCTCAAAACCTCCAATATTGCATAATTTACACAATTTGTAGACATATATTTCAAGAATTAAGTAAAAACCATAGACTGTACATAAAAGGACAATGTTTACCCTTTACCTCAATGTTTACCCTTAACCTCAATGCTTACCCTTAAGCTCAATTAAGTCCAATGGCGAAGTTTGGATCCACTCGCTCTGGCTCCTATTGACCTTAATGTAAAAGTAAACTCAGCTCTAGCTCAGTAACTGCTTGTGCCACATTCTCAATTTTGGGCTTAAAACCTGTGGCTGAGCGCTCTTGTGATCCCCGTGTTTATATTGTGATAATGTCTTTGTAAACCTAGATGTCATCCATATTAGGATTGACTAATCAGATGCCTTCATTCACAGGGGAAACTTAGCACGTCTGCCCCTGTTACAGCAAAAGTAATGCCATGCTAGCCTATGTTCACGCTGTGGTGATGTCACACTCATATACAGTCTATGGTCAGAACAATCGGAGCTGAACAAAGGAGTGAATGTAAAAAGCAACATGATGAGTAAATAATCAGATATATTTGAAATCATGCAAAACTCAAGAACAAAGTGGGTAATGTTTTAACACCTCTTCTTCCCAAACGCTCCTCTCTGTGTCGACTTCTATAAAAGTACGGGAAGATAGAAACTCTTCATTCAACACTAAGATAAATATATATATATATTTATATATATATATATGTGTGTATATATATATATGAATATCTATGTACAATACTTCAACTAGCTAAGTGTGAAATGGCTTCTTCTCACAGAACTGAGGCTGTGAGTGAGAGCCGGTCCAAAGACCATACCACAGAACTGAGGCTGTCAATGAGAGCCGGTCCGAAGACCAGACCACAGAATTGTTAATGAGAGCCAGTTCGAAGATCAGACAATAGAATTGAGGCTGTCAGTGACAGCCGGTGCGAAAACCAGACCAAACCACAGAACATGAAGCAGACTTTCAGCAAAACAGGCAAAGCTTATAAAGACTGATGCGACACGCGACTATCTGAAGGCACAGACAAAAGACGAGAAATGAGAATATTCAGTTTTGTTTTTGAGTGTTTTCCTGACTTTGTCAACACATGATGTTGTCTTTTCAAACCAGAACATTCCACAGAAACATGTGTTCATGTCAAGATCAAAACTATTTAATCATAATCCATCACACAAGGGCTCTGTGCACATGTTGCAAGCTGACCGTTAGCTACTGTCAAGGAAAGCATAGAGAAGTGTTTGTTATGAAATAAATACTTTGTTATTATTCTGCAGCAACAGCACAAACGAGTGATGTTAATGCTAAAAGTGGTAGTGCTAGCTATCACACACAGAGCACACAACTAAGTCAGGTCTGAAGGTAGTACGAGACTTGAACTCGTGATGAGAATATTCCCATTTCTGGCTGGATCTGTGTTTCGTGAGATGCGGCTATTGGGGGTTTCCTGAGATGTTGGACCCTTCATTAACTTTGAGAGTGCAGCAGGGACAGATCAGCGCTGGGGAGGGCCAGGGGGGTCCCAAGGCATCAGTACACTGCTCTGAAGACTCGAACTGCCAACAGACTTGAGCCAACGAGAGCCTATCAAGATTCATATTGTGTGTGTCAGTATTTCAGCTGGAGCCAATAAAAGTCTATGGGAAAGAAATGTAAAAAGAGAAGCCCCAGCGGTCAGAATGGTGAATATGAAGTTGTATTTTCTACAGAGACTGTGCCCTATCTGTCTTTTCAGAACCAATAACCAATTACTTGAATAAGTGTTCAAAATAACATTGCTATTGAGATGGAGATGACACATGAGTATTCACACTTTTTTCAATCATTGAGAAAGTAAAGTAAAGATAGAATGCGGTTTGACACACAGATGAAACTACAAGGGAATAGTAACTGACATTGCTCATGCTGCAGTTTTAGGGACATTCTGTGAGTGAAATATTGTTTCAGATCAGGTCCCTGTGTAGTATGGGCACAAGTAAGGCCTGCAGACTCCTCCCCCCATATCTCTCGAATACACCCCAACCCTTCCCTGAGTCCCGGATTCCCCCCTGCTGGACTATCACCCTACGGAAGCTCATCTGTGCCAAAAGTAACAAAGTGAAGCTGATATAAAACATGATCAGAAACAACTGGAACTCATGGTTTTGATGCTTCTCTGTTTCCACTTCAGTTCATGCTGAACTTTTGAACCATGAAGTTTCACTGCAAAAACAAGACTAGGGTCCAAACTATGACCGGAATAAAGACTAAATAAAAACAGATGACACAAATGTAGAGATTATGGAGGATACACCTCTCACAATTGTGTGACGCAGTTTCTGGTTAAAATAATGTCTATGTTCAAAGGATAATCAGGTCACGAAATCCTCTTCTTCTAGTCTCTGTCATGGCCCCATCTTGGCTGTCCTCATGTATGTATTTGCCATTCTCTGCAGGTGTTACTAGGGAGTGGCATTGGCTGTGCGTACATCTAGGTCCAACGCACATAAAAGACCCGCCTCCAGCCATAGGCTCCTGCTGGCTCATTCACTCCCATCCCGGACAAGCCCCCACCTGTTACAACTTGGCTCTAGGCTATAACCAAGGATGCACCAAACGAACGGATGTCAATTATAAAATAGTTTATTATGTATGAAAGCACAGTAAACTAATACAAAAAAATGGGTGGGCGCTCAGGTGCAGGACTGGGAGTGAAGTGAGCCAGCAGGAGCCCATGTCTTTTATGTGAGTTAGACGTAGATGCATGCCACTACCTAGCAACACCTGCAGAGAACAGCAATGACATCTCCATGACATCTCCATCCCCTGTTCTCATAAGTCTCTATCCCCAGTCCTCATAAGTCTTCATTGCCCAGTTCTCAGTGCCATCTAATGCCCCCGTAGACTCCCTGAGGCTTCTCACTTTATCCTACTGGGTTCTGAGTGGTTCCTTTTTGATGCAGGATGGTCTAGGGACAGTGATCGTCCGGGACATTTCTGCACATTTATAAACATTTCTGGACAGTGGTCATCTTGCTCCCAATGGACCAATGACTCCTATGTGTTATTTATTATTGCATTTCCTGTGTTTGAACTGTTTGATTTTCTGATTTGTGATTGAATTGAAATCGAATGAATACATATGGTCAATGCTAAACTGCTAGCTATTGAGCTAACCCACTAGCTGAATGAAGCCCAATAGGGAAGTGCTTGTGGTTATTGTTGTTGCAGTGAAACTGGACAAAAATCTTGTTCAAAATCTCATGACTTCAGCTCCTTTCAGTCCGGAGCAGATAGGACATTTTTACAGTGTGTGTGATGTACGTGTATAAAAGGACGACCACAGCTTCTCCAGAGCGGCTCCGGTGCAGGGGGTTGTGTGAAAGCAGCAGAAGATGGGAGACTTCCTTAGTTCCAAGAGTGAAAAGCAAAAGAAAAGTCAGTAATAATCTGTAATATGTCCTCACTCTGACGTAGATCTACAGTGGAAATATTCAAACTCTAGCAAAGATAGAAAAGGAGCAGTGACCAGCGCAGCTCAGCCGGGTTCAGGTTCCAGATCAGGGTCCGGGAGTGTATCTCCGAGATCTCAGTTTAGTCCTCCACAAACAGAATGCCTTCTCCGTGACTTCAAACGGATTCAATTCCAGCAGTGTGTTGAATTCACTTTATTATTGCAAGATGTTTCTGACCATCTTCTTCAGTCACAGACCTGGAGCGTGTTTTGATCATCCAATATCAGGAGCACAACCATGTAGCTCTGTCTAAAAGATCTTCTCAGTCCTATTACAGTATGAGTGTGAGTGTACACTCAGTACACTCACACTCAGAGCAGTTTTACTGCCTTTAATACAAAAGTATTGCCCATTAATTAATTTTTGTTGATTTCTCAGGTGAAACCGATGAGAACTCCAGAGAGATACCAGAGGGAGACACCAGAGAGAAAGACCAAAGGGAAAGACCAGAAATAGAGATACCGGAGAGAGGGACCAGAGAGCAGGACCAGAGAAAGAGACCAGAAGGACATTACTCCTGCTGGTCCTGGGGCCAAAACTCTGACGGCTTCACTCACCCAAGCACGGCTCATTAAGCTGTCAGTATAAATCACTTTTTGTCGAACACAGATGTCTGGATGGTTGTGCACTTTTGAAAACGGTCAGGAAAATCTTCAAACTAGTGAAATAATATTGGTTCATTGAGTAAATTGAACTTAACTCGTAAAAAACTGTAAAAGTGAAGAACAAAAGCCTGGATCCAACTAATTTAATTCTTGTTTTTCTGGTGCAGGGTTTGGTCTCAGACGGAGCACACTTTAAAATCCACTATTGTGATGAAATCCACTGGAGCTGATATGAGGAGAGGACGCATGCCAGAGACCAGGGATCAGAGATCAGAGACCAGGAACCAGGGACAAGGGAACAGAGTGGATATCCTCTGGAACAGGTCAGGACTGAGGAAGGTCTGGGTCAGCTTCACAGCAGCAGAGTTTGTTTTAGTCCAGGTCCAAGTTCTGCAAAGAAAAACAAAGAAAAGACGCATTATTCACATTTAGAACAACCTCAGAAGAATCTTCAGCACAAATTGACTCCCGCAGACTGACCTGTCCTCATTTTCACCAAGAGAGCAGACTGACCTTCTATACAAAGTCGTCTCCAACTTCTGAGGAGGCTGCGTTCCTTTGGAGTGAGCAGGCCTCTGCTCAGGTCCGTTTATAATTCTGTTGTAGCTTCTGCCATACACTATGCTGCGGTCCTTTGGAGTGAGCAGGCTCTGCTCAGGTCCTTTTGTAACTCTGTGGTAGCTTCTGCACTACACTATGCTTCCATGTGCCGGGCCCCGGGCAGCACAGAGCGGGACAAGCTGGTCAGGAGGGCCAGCTACGCTCTGGGCTGCTCCCTGGACTCTGGAGGTGAGGGACAGGAGGATGCAAGCCAAAGTCACCTCCATCATGGTCAACAACTCCCACCCACTGCCCAGGACTGTGGCTGTGGAAGACTGAGACACCCTCAGTGCAAGAAGGAGCGCTACCGTAGGGCCTTTATCCCCACCGCTGTCAGACTATACAATAAGTCACTAATGCACTAGGACTGAAAAAATCAGCGCTGCTATTGCCGCTTTTTTTTTTATTGCCACTTTTTTATTGTACATAAATATATCTAGCACAGACAATATTTTTAACCTTTTAACATGTTTGCACACTCCTGTCTTATTGCACAATCTATGCCAAATGTGTCCAGTGTGAGATCTATCAAATCTATCATATCTTATCTCTACACTAGTGGGAGCAGACCGACCTGTCCTCCTCTACACCAGGAGAGCAGATTGACCTGTCCTTCTGTCCTTCTCTACACCCGGAGAGCAGATTGACCTGTCCTTCTGTCCTTCTCTACACTCGGAGAGCAGACTGACATGTCCTCCTCTACACCAGGGGGAGCAGACTGACATGTCCTCCACTACACCAGGGGGAGCAGACTGACCTGTCCTCCTCTACACCAGGGGGGGCAGACTGACCTGTTCTCCTCTACACCAGGAGATCAGACTGACCTGTACTCCTGTCCTCCTCTATCTGTCCTGCAGCATCTTCAGAGCTCTCTCGATGTTCATGCGGTGTCCGACTCGGGTCACCCCCAGGTCGATGAGGTCCTCTTTTTGGAGCGAGGGAAGGTGTGCCCCCTCAATTTCGTTGTCCAGGAAGGCGTCACGGTGCTCCCCCAGGTTCAGACTATCCAGCCAGTCGGCCACGTCCCCTTTGCTCCACAGCTCCACAGGTTTGGAGGCGAAAGGTCGGTTAGAGGCCAGCAGGAGGGTGAGGGGTGAGGGGGAGCGGGAGGAGCCCAGGCTGTACCCGCCCTGGGGCAGAACACACAGGACCAGAGTTAGGCTGAACCTGCCCTGGGGCAGAACACACAATCCCAGGCTTAGGCTGTCCCTGTCCTGGGGCAGAACACACAAGACCATCCACATGTGCAGGCAGGGCTGGCCCTAGGTCATCAGGCGCCCCAGGCGAAAATATATTATGGCGCCCCTTGCGCACTTGTAGAGGGCATCACAGTGTGTGCTGTGAATGTAGTCACAAACCTTTAAAATGTGCATTTTGGCGGCTCATTCCCGTGGCTTCTCTTTCCACTTTTACGTAAGAAACAGCCTAAAGGAGCCACCTGCTGTTAGTGTTGGGCAAGTTACTTTAAAAACGTAATACATTATGTTTCACTTATTACTGTTATTTCAAAAGAATGTATTACACTATAGTATTACTGTATCTGAATTGTAATGTATTACTGCATAACTTTTAAGTTACTTTCTCCAAATATATATATATAGTTTAAAAAAAGGATTAGGGTTTAACCATCTCAAGGTCAATTTGTATGTATTAATTTCAGTCTAATAATTGAAGGGGTTGTTAAACTTGGGGTAAACTGGTTAATCCTAAATACTGTAGGTTCAGCCCTGGCTCAGTCCTAATGTAACCCAGGTCCCTAGCTGAAGCCGCGTCCTGCCCCGCTTTTATTTTGGCAGGCCCGTTTCCCATATAGTAGCCGCTCCTCCGCGTCACTTCCTCTCAATCTCAGGTTGAATTGATAGCTGTCAGAGTCCTCACGTTGCTATCTGTTGTGGCGCTGTTTGAAGACTCTTCAAACAAGAGAATTAAAACTTAACATCAACATTTGGTCCTGCGAACCCATCCATCTTTGACAATACACTGCGTAATTTGTGTGTATTTTGTGGTAAACCTTGCGGGTGCTTGAAACTAATTAAAACCTAAATACTGCAGATCCGACCTCATTATCTCGAAGGATCCTCTCTCGGACTCAGTAAATTACTCCTACTCACCGGTGAGTCGTGAAATTATGTATTTATCCATGTTATTGTTAAGAATGTAGCGCAATCTCCTGCTATCTTGTAGCTATGATTAATGCTAACGCAGCATAGAGCTACAGTCGGCTGCTGCGTACATTTTTGCTCATAACTTTTTGAGACTCGTTATATTTGACAAAGTAGTCCAACCGAACTGTAGGCTACACTTATGTTAGAATATCGCATCAAACTCGCATTTTAAGGCGTGTTTTGATAACTTTTTGATACGAATGCCCACGCGGCCATATTTGTTTTGAATAGAATCCAGACTCCGTCTGAATGAATTAAAGGCGCTATACCCGTTTCTGCAAGGTTTGAATGTTTAGCACCGCCCCCCAACTCGCTCAAAGGCTTCTCATTTCCCCTACGCTCTCATAACACAGGGCCATCTAGCTCAATTTGCGATCTGACATGCATGCTAACATTAGCATTAGCACAACTTCTTGTAAGCTGTACAACAATCACAGATGAAATGGTACTAAAGCAACTCACTGCTAACACAATGTATAGGTAAAAGAATACTGCTAGTTTTGCATCCAAATTTATTCATTAAAACATTAGAATATATTCGAGTATTTAATTATAATTTATTATACAGCTCCTCACAGCAGCAGTAGAACACTCCGTTGACTTGAATGTAATTCTACCGATCATTTTTTCTTGATAACAGAACTGTCAAATCAATAATGACCGCTGCCCTATGACAATGCAATCTCTGTTTCTAATTCAGGTGTGTAAAATACTGCCATTACTCCGCAAGTACAACGAGAGAAGCTAGCTGAGCTAGCCACGCTCAATAAACAACTACATATCTATCAATCAACACCACTAAATGTTAATCGGACAATACAGTATACATATACATCCTTAACACACATGCACGGAATTTTTCAGAATTTCTTGTTATCGTTTTCATGACCAATTTACTATTTTAATGTGACAAAAAGCGATCGCGAAAAACCCGGAAGTAACCATTAACATGTAGTTCCGGGGAGCTAGCTAGCTTAGCTATTACCTGCCTAGCACGTCCCGGTGGAACCTTTGGGAGCTAACTATTTTATTTGCAGACACATTGCTGTCTAAAATGTGTTCGCATATATATATATATTTTTTTAAATTTTAGAATTATATTCGAATTTTGAAGCCGAAGCCCTAGTGTTTAGCAGCGCTGTAGGGGCTAGAGGACGCAGGCTGTTCGCTGCTCGTTCTGTGAGCGGAGGAGAACGAGCGTCTTGCTCAGACTCTACTCAGCACTTTTCACTGCTTGTAATTCTTACACAGCTGAATCAATTAACCTCAAGTTTTCAATTAAATTACGGATTATAATACAACTTGTATGTAGTAATAAGCATTTTTATCAACTACTTAGAAAAAAAAAATTGGGTATAGCTTCTTGAACTCTGTTGCGCAACATTATTTTGAACCATTTGATTATTGAATTGGATTCTGTACCTCGAGTACAATCTATTTAAAGTGCACTTTACATTGAAAACATTTAACACACACATTTACATTCACAATGTAATACTTGAATGAAGCTTCATATTTATTTTTCTACTTTATACTGTTCATATTGAATGTATTTGATTTATTGCTAGTCTTTTAGCTTTCAAATGTTATTTACTATTTAATTATTTATGTTGTACCTGTTTAAAGTACTGCTAACTCTGGTATTTAACTAATGGCTTTTTCCTGACTTGTGTTTTAGGTCAGGTTTTTTTTTTTGTACCTCTTTGACCTCTCTTCGATGCCGAGCTACCCAACCCCCGCTGTATCGCGGTAGGTACCTTTTGTTATCCTCGAACCTGGATATATAAACTTTCCATGAAATATGGACCTTTAATGAACTGAACTCTAAAGAGGATTGAACTGTGAATCAAGACCTGGTGAACATTTCAGTGTTGATTTTTTTCCTTTTTATCTCAAGATTTGGATTGACTTTGATTTTGGTTTTTGGTTTGAGTTATAATTAATAGATAATATATTCCATACATATTATATTATAATATTAATTATACCTGGTCATTTATAATATAACGTATTAATCTATCTATTATATACATATTGTATTAGTAATATTTTATTATACCCTGCCAACTAATTGTTACACCATATCATTATATCATACCTGATTATTATATATGCAAATCACTTTTGAAAAACTTCAATACATACAATCTTGAAAACGCAAATACTCATTCTGTGTCTCTTATTCACTCGCTCTGGCTCCTGTAGGCGAACCTAGTCTGAAAGCCTACTCTCTATCTTCGGCCCAGTCAGATCCTTAGCCCAAGGCGCTACACTAGTTCAGTCTGGCTCAGTCCTGGTTGTCCTGGCTCAGTCTTAGCTCAGTCCTAGCTCAGTCCCAGCTCAGTCCTAGCTCAGTCCTGGCTCAGTCTTGGCTCACAGCAGCTCACTGCTTCATTTAATATACATGATGGAAGTGCAACATTCTTGCCTCTGTTTAAAACGCGCCGCTCATCGCCCACGTATTTTCCGCCCGTTACGTAGTGTCTGCCTCTGTCTCAAACAGGATTCTGTAGAGAGTCATAACTCTGTGATAACTGACTCGTTTTGGACAATTTAAAGATTAAACCAGAGCTTAGACTCTCATCTAACCATAGGGTGCATGTCTCTGTTCATACTTTGAGCCCATTTTTCATTATCTTCTTTTCTTTGGCGTTTGGTTGCACCTGACATCTTGGACTGCCTTTTCATAATAACGTTGAACAAAAACACGTCCACCTTTCTTTCACACTTTCTGATATGCGCAAGGCTGCCCTCCCCCACCTACTCACCTTGGTGTAACAAGAGTGCAGCCTACAGCAGCAGGGTTCAATGATGACAATTTAGATTAAGTTTATAGTATACATAAACTGTTTTCTCAATCTTACGTGATGGGAAACACTTAGCAGAATAATTAAAAAGGAAACTTTTTTCTTTTCTTTAAAGTGGTTCTCACCCCCGCTCCTCGGAGCTTACGTCACTCACATTTCCTGTTCAAATCTTCCTCTAAATGGGCGCAGCTTGGAGGACTAAAGGGGGCGTGAACGAGACTGGGCCGTTTACATTGCTCTGGGCGGGGGGCTGCTGACGTCAGGTCTTGCTTCAGACGTCAGGTCTTGCTGCCGCGCCAGTGTTGGCGCCAGATTCAAATTTCAAATGTAGTAATACAGGTCGCCAGCAGATGGCGCCTCACAGACGGTTTTAGGCAGAAAGTTTAACTTTCAACTTATTTGCACCTAAGTGACAAGATTATGACCAGGATATGTAGACAACACTATTGGACACTCATTTAAATCGTTTATCAGCAAAAAAAAGTAGGATTGGAGGGTGAGTTGTCCTTTAAGACTGCAATTTTGCTTTGAACCCCTTTTGGAAAAATGTAAAACTGATTTTGCTAGGTGGCGAACGCTCCCCGTTTCTATTGCAGGACGTGTAAACTTGATAAAAATGATGGTGCTTCCGAAGTTCCTATACTTTTTCCAAAATTTACCAGTCTTTATAAACAAATCTTTTTTCCAAAGTCTAGATAAATTAATAAACTGTTTCATATTGGGTGGCAAACCTGCACGTGTTAAAAGATCTGTACTATACCTGCCTAAACCATCCGGGGGTCAAGCGCTTCCTAATTTTCCTGATTATTATTGGGCTTCAATTGTTCATAAAATCATATATTGGACAAGCTATAAACCTTCGGACATGGCTCCAAACAGAGACAAGATCATCCACCTTCTCCTTACACTCAATAATCTGCTCAAATATTTCAATTAAACCTTGTGACATTTCCCACAACTCCGTGATAATAAACACACTTAAGATCTGGACTCAATTTAGAAAGCAGTTTGGCTTATTGGGGGCCTCTCTCAATGCTCCAATTTTTAATAACCATTTATTCCAACCTGGTTCAGACCAGGCTTTTGCAAATTGGTCAGCAAATGGCCTCTGCTGTTTAAAGGATCTGTATGAAAAAGACGCCTTTTCCTCCTTCCAGACACTACGCACAAAGTTTAAGTTACCCTCCAAACACCTTTTCCGTTATTTACAAATCCGTAATTTCATTCAAAAACAATTCCCTCACTACCCTAACCGTCCACCAGAAACTAACATTGACGAACTAACCAACCACCAATGGTCTGAAAAACAACTGACCTCCCTCATTTATATCAAGATTAATTCTATGATTCCAGACCCAACAATTGTTTATAAGAACAAATGGGAGAGTGACCTGGCCATTAAAATATCACAGAGTCAATGGATGGATCTTTTTTATAAAACACCTCATCCGTCTGTGCAAGACATGCTTTGATGCAATTCAAAGTAACATACATCTTACAAATGCATAACTAGCACAAAGACATCCAGATGTGTCAAATGCCTGTGCTAGGTGTAGAAACTCGCCTGGAGATCACGGACACGTGTTCTGGGCTTGTCCGAAGCTTTTTAAGTACTGGTCTGATATTTTTTCAATGCTGTCAAAAATTTATAAAATCAGTATACCGGCTAATCCAATAGTTGCTCTGTTTGGCCTTTTTCCGCCCTTGAATGTGCTACAAAATGTGCAATTGCCTTTACTACTCTTTTGGCCAGACGCCAAATTCTCCTCAAATGGAAACAAAAAAGTCCTCCAACAACCAATAGTTGGCTGCAAGAAGTCCTACAATGTATACATCACAGGAGGGGGCTTTTTTTCTTTTTACTTTTTTAGAAATAATTGGTCTAGATAATGGATTAGAGGTCAGGATCTAGGAGGCTAATGTTAGAAACATACTGACTTGACTTTATTTACTGTCCTTAAAATCTGTTAATGCAAAAGGAAGAAAAACCAATAAAAAGATTTAAATGAAGACTGCAATTTTGCGCCCCATCCTGCAGATGGCGCCCCAGGCGACCACCTGGGTCGCCTATGCCCTGGGCCGGCCCTGTGTGTGTGCGTGTATTCAGTACCTGTGAGAAGCACTCGGTAAGTGTGGGGGAGGCGGAGGCTGGCAGCGAGGAGCAAGGGGTCAGCGGGGTTATGGGGGAGGCCTCTGAAGGGGTGCAGGAATGAGGCGAGTGTGGGGCGGGCTCTGTGAGGAGGGGGGAGTGCGGATGAGAGGGCAGAGAGGAGGGAGGGGTGGGGGAGGTTGCAGATCGAAGCATCCCTGAGTCGTCCACGGTCCTGGAACCAGAAGAAGCACAGATAAAAACACCAGCGAGAGACCAGAGAAAGAGATCATATCAGAAAGGAAAGTAAAATGATGTGAAAACAAGAGATAGAAGCAAACTCGTTTAGAACCAGGAACTAGAGACATGAGTTTATTACAGAGTTCATGGGGGAAGGGTTTTTTTCTGATGAAGCTAAAACCAGGGCTGATCTTGTTGGAACATGGTTAAAAGAACTGGACAAGAGGCTCCCCACATTTCAGAACGGTAAATCATGTATAGAATCTGTGTTTGAGAAGTCTGGTGTGGGCAGAAGGCAGGGCCCAAAGGGAGAGGGCCCTGCCAAAATAAAACCAAAGTGGGACAGAAAAAAAGTGGGACCAGAAGCAATTTGCAGAGTTTGAGATCACCAGGTTTTTCCAGGAAACAATGAAATACTGTGTCAAATTGTGAGTTCCCTTAGCTTCAGATGTGTTTGGGAACCGCCTCTAAAGCCGTGTTGGGTGCTATCACAGCCGGTCACATTTTAAACCAACACTCGTCCTTAGAGACAGGGAACTACAGGTTTCACAAAGGAAGATTCTGTGGGGATTGTTTTTCTGAGGGGATAATCAACTCTGTTTTTTATAATCCATCGGTTTTCTTCAAAGGATATTGGAGACCTGGGGAAGACATCTTGGAGACTGGTCACTCATCACTAGGGGTGTGACGATATATTGATTTTTCGATATATCGCGATACTTTCTCCCGCGATTCGATTATCGATATGCATTTGCGAAGTATCGATATCGATTTTGAATTTTTTTTTTTTGAATTGGTATCAATACTTAATATATGGCTACATTACGCATCTCCATTCTATTTATCATGAAATAAAGAGTATTTTTTCTTGTATTTTTGCCATAAATTGGCATATTGTATATTTCTGACCAATACATCAATAATCGTCATATCGTGATAAAATTGTTATCGTGATATCGTTATCGTGATATTATCGTTATCGTGAGCTTTGTATCGTGTATCGTATCGTGAGGTACCCTTAGGTTCCCACCCCTACTCATCACTGCTGAGTCTTTAAACTCTTGTGATTTGAGTTTTTCAGAAAGTCCAGAGGACTTAGAGACATGCACAGAAAAACCCAGTGTTAAGATTTCAGAGTTCTCATTTTCAGAGTACATTTTGAACACTGTGGAGTTGGTTGGGCTTCATGTACACTTTCAGTACTTCATTTGCACCACTGCGACGTGTTGTGCTTGAGTGTAGAGTCTTTATAGTGAGTCACAAAGGTCCGCATCATAGCGCCTGTACGTGATCTGTCATTAGCCACACCCACCCACACCCACACCCAGGCCATTGCCTCGTCTCCGCAGACTATTCCACGGCTCTACGGTAAGTAATCACTTTATAAACTGTTTGTAAGCTTTATAATTTTAGTGCATGTTGGAATGCATGCGTTCATAGTGTTACGTTGCATTTGATAGTATTGTTTTCAGACTGGAATTCAAATTTGCTGTGGAAATTTCTGGAAAGTGTAACTAAATTCAATATGGTAGCGTAACTTATTTCGATAAGGGAAAGTTAGCGCTAGCTAGCAATGCTACACCATTGCTAAAGGCCTGGTGTCTAAGTTCATTGAGCACTCCAGACTGAGAAGAAGGGAAGAGACCACTGTTTAAATCTAGTGCTAGCTGTTCTCATGAAATTCTTCTGAGGAAGATGTGTGATAGACAGTCTATGGTAATAGGGCACTGTCCGGTTTCCGAAATGTGCTAAAAATAGCTCTGAAGACTGCGCATGCGCGCATGTTTCGGACAAACATTGTGTCCGACTCCGTTGAGTACCACTGTGTTCTCCACATACGCGTGTGTATTTACTTGGGCTAAATCATTGAATCATGGTGACAACAAAACACTGCAGTTATGGTACTTGTGGGAGCGATTTCAGATACTCTGAAAAGGACTATATTAAAGCAGTAACATTCAACCCGTTCTTTAAACAACACCATCGGACCAGACCAGGACCAGACCAGGACAAGTGCAAGAGGTGGGTGCTTGTGGTTGGCAGAATTTCTCTCATGAAAATGTTAACAAGGACTCATATTTGTTCAAAACACTTCGTCTGGGAAGCTGGACCAACTGTGGAGCATCCAGATCCAGTCCTAGCTACGTTTAGCTGGGACTGGATCTGGACCGCTGGATCAGGTCCGTCTGAGCTCTTCTGAATGCAGCACAAACTTTCTCTTTATACCATTTACCCCCATCAATCCATATTAGTATTGTTTGTCCTAATCCACAATGTATACAATTCTCACACCTGAAGAAAGATGAGAGGGATTTTTTCAACTTTGTGACTTTCGGAAAAATAAGTACAGACGAAGCGCGTCGGGGTCCGCTTATTATACGGCTTTGTACGAACTGCACACACAAAATAAACTTCAATCACTATCACGCCAAAAGGTTTATTTAATGACTGCAAAGAAAATAGTTCCCAAAGGTTTTCCTGTGGCAGGCGAGTAACAGTGAGGCCAGTTAACCTACTTCAAAAAAGCGATCGCTTTAGTCAGATTAAAAAAGTATTTTTGTCATGAAAACCTTAACAGATCATTCTGAAAACCTCCGTGCACGTGTGTTGCAAATGTATGTATAATATATTCTGCCATTAACATTTAAACGTGTCGATTGATTGTCATTTGCGTTTATTGACTGTGGCTAGCTCCGATATTCTCTCTGCAGAGACAGTAGTGGCCTAGCCCGTTGTGACCCCATGGATCTATTATAATATCGGCTGACAGTAGCTAACTATATGATCAAACTAATTACAAAGTGGACAGTACAAAAAACAACTTGATAAATGGAAGTTAATCACAGCAAAATAAACAAAGAAGGCGCTAGCATTGCAATTTAAATGACAAAATAATGTTAGCATAATCCTCACCATTACCTTTTTATCAATTCAAACTTTCTAGTTGCATGCTGGCGCTCCCCCATTCCGCTCTTCAGCTGCTGGGGCGCTGGTCCTCGTCGGCTCTCACCGCCTACATTAGGCCAGATGCAACTGCTATTGTCGCAGCGCAGCGACTACTGGCGTCCTCATAAGCTCCCAGCAAAGCAAAAGCAAGCAAGGCAAAAGCAATAAGAATCCTGGTGGCGGCACGCACTCCCCTCAACTCTGTCCCCCTGCTCCTTAGTTTTTTGCAGCGTCTGGCTGAACATGATGCACCGAGCTGGACTCGCACTCTACTCCCCGGAGTGGGTGCTGAGCAGCCCCGCGCTCATGTTCTCAGCTCGCTCAGGGACTCCCCGGCTCCAGCGTGCAGCGTCTGGCTGAACATGATGCATCCTGCTGCCCCGCGCTCATGTTCTCAGCTCGCTCAGGCCCCGCTATCTTTCTGTTGCTAAACAGGTGCAGCCTGGCTGAGCAACCGTGCTGATCTGCACTCGCGCTCAGGCTCCTCGGAGCGTGCGTGCTGAGCTGTCTCGCACCCGCGCTCTCAGGCTCGCATCAGCTCTGCTATTCTGCTTTATTCTGCTTCTTCAGTTGCAGCCCAGCCGAAGCAGTGCTGAGCTGGACTCGCACTCGTGCTCTCCAAAGCAAGCATGCTGAGCTGCTCGCACTCACGCTCGAAGGTGCTCATCACCTATCCCGCTTAAATTTTCTGCTTAACTTTTGCTCCCATTATGCGCAGCCGTGCATCCTGCTATCCCATCGCAGACCCGCATCTTTTGGGGGATCTCTATGTGCGCAAGCGGCGCGCTCAACAGCACCGCTCCGGGGCCTAGGGCATCAAACATGCTTAATAAAATACTTCAAATTGCATTTCATGTCATGGGTCTCTCCAGAATTAAATGAAGCTTCGCGCAAGTTCACTCTGGTAGACCCGGCCTGCTGCTGCCCAGCTCCTCCAGGCCTGCTCTCATCCTCGGCTCATCGCACAGCAACACCCATTTCCAGTCAAACCAATAACCGCCAGGCCAGCGAGTTAAAAGCCTGAGACGCCCACTTCTCGGCCTTCTCAAGCTGTGCATCCTCCGCCGCCCAACCTCCTCCTTCTCCCATTCTTCTAGCAAGGCCCTGGGGGGATCTCTATGCACGCAAGCGCCGTGCTCAACAGCACGGCCTAGGGCGCCAAACATGCTTAATAAAATACTTCAAATTGCATGGGTCTCTCCAGAATGAAATTGCTTGTAGTTCTATTTAGCAAGTGGTGGCACATTAAAGCTATTTTGCACGACTTTGACTGAATTACGTATTAAATGTGGTGTATGGCATTCTAATGTGCACACACATTAGGATTTTTTTATTTTTAGCTTGTTTTATTTTATTGCTCTGAATCATTGAAGTGTTGAGGTGTTCAGTGTGATAGTTGATGGATGGGCGGACTGGCAGCAAGTTTTAAGGACATGAACATCTCTGTACATTTTACATCTGTGAATGTTTGTATCCAGTTATCATAATTAAATGTTAAATTCTTTTTGTTTTTCAGCGAAAATACAGTGCTGTTTAAAGTACAATATCAAGGGAAAAAAGTATTTAAAACTGAATGGAGTTTCATATTTTTGCTTTCTTAAGGAAGGTAATACTTGCATAACACTTTTATATACAATCTTCTCATATATTATGATATTGTATGTTTTTTCTTTAGACGGTTTCTTTCAACATAACTAATTTTTATAGTTTTTAGCGAAAAACAAAGGTTTGGCATACCCAGGGCCGGAGTGGGACAACATTTCAGGCCGGGAGCTTTTCATCCATTCAGGCCAAACAAGGTTCTAAATTTGGGTTTTTTTGTCATTGTATTTTGATGTTCTTTTAATAGTTTTAAGATTGACTGTCAAAACTTTTGTTTTCTTTATTTTTTTTTATATTGACTGTTTATATAATCTCGGACGTTTAAGGATTGTTGTACGTTGCTTAGCAACGTAACGTTTATGGAGTTTAGTGAGAATAAAGACACACACACACACACACAATTAACTAAGTGTTCATTAGTGTATAACTATAACAAGCTAATCAATT